GTACTGCCCTTCGGACTACGGAATGGGCCAGTGCTGTTCCAACACGCCATCAACTCTATCCTGCGGCCACATCTCCTAACAAAGTGTCTAGCCTACATCAACAATATTATTGTCTTTGGCAACACCTACACGAAGGTGTGCCAAAACCTCCAGGACGTCCTTACAGCCCTGGACAAGGCCGGGGCGGCTATTGACATCGCCAAGTCCACCTTCCTCGCCACCCAGATCGAGTTCCTGGGACTAATCATTGACCAAACTGGGGCATGGCCAGCCCCACACAACCTGACCGCAGTGGAGCAATACCCTTGTCCTAGCACAACGAAAGAGATGCAGAGGTTCCTGGGTCTTGCAACATATCTACGGGCCCATGTGCCCCTCAACTTTGCTACGGCGGAGAAAGTGCTGCGCACCACCATCCCTGCCAAACCTAGCACGACCCTCCGGTGGTCAACACTGGCTGAGACCACGTTTCACAATCTGAAAACTGCAATTGCCAATGCAGCCCGACTGGAATGCTACAACAAACGGCAACCCATTGAAGTACACACCGACGCCTCTGCCACAAGCCTCGGGGCGGTCCTGGTCCAGGTACACCCCAAAACCTGGCCAGCCATCATTCAGTACGCCAGCTGGGTACTCACGGACACAGAAACGTGATACACGAACACCAAACGCAAGCTCCTCGCAATGGTTTGGGCTGTAACAAAGAAGTTTTGTCATTATTTGGAGCACCGAGCGTTCTGAATGATAACGGACCACCAGCCCCTCCTCGGCAAGCTCAAATCCTCCCGCCTCATCCGCATGCAAATGAAGCTAGGACAATACCAAGGCAAAATCGAATACTGGCCTGGCGCATCCTTACACGCACCCAACGCCCTCAGTAGGGTCTCCATCCAGGCAGCCGACCTACGCCTGGCGGTACACCCGGGACAATACCGCAAAGTCATTGAACGCTACCACATTGACCTCGGGCATGCACACTGAAAGAAAGTGCTGCACAGACTCCGTGCACGCTTTTCCTGGCCCCACATGCACCACACGATCTGGCGCCAACTCGTGGACTGCCCCAAATGCTTCGCGTATAACGACAGCACAAAAATTACAGGAGAACTCATGACGGGGATACCTGTGACGAAACCATTTGACCGACTCTGCATTGACTTCTATGGGCCCCTCCAGCAATCTACTGGGCTACAGAAATACGCGCTCATCGCAATGGCCAATTCTCCAAGTTCCTGGTTGCCATCCCAGTACCGCAAGCAGATACGGCGACGGCCATCGCCAACATCCATACTATCCTACAGGACGTGGGAAAGTTCCGCACCATCCACTCAGACCTCGCCACAATCTTTAAATCCTGTGCCTTTTGCCAATTTGTGACACAGGCGGGGTGCAAACAACACCTTGCACGTGCCAATCACCCGGAGGGCAACGGGACATGCAAATGGGCCATTCGCACCATTGGACAAATCCAGGCAAAACTGGCAAAAGGGGACAGTGCCAACTGGCATATCTACTTACCGACAGCTGTGGCCGCATATAATCTCATGCCACATACCTCGATGCCTCTACACTAACATACCCCCATCGAGGTATGTGGCGTGACAGCTAATTTATGGCAGAAACTGTTTCGCAGGTCTTGGGGTACCATTTATATGCATGTTCCCAGTCGAGATTTGGACTCGCTCTAAAGATTCAGGTCTAGTGTACTTTAGCAATGCCAGTGGAACGCACTGTGCGCGTCCATGCGCGCGGCCATTTTTTACTCCTGGTGACCTCTATCTGTACTTTGCTTTCCTACAGTTTTCCTCCAGCAACCCTGGCAAAGAGGAAAGAGTGACTTCATGTGTTCAACATGACGCGGCGCCGCATATATATTCACACCTCCTTGTGTGAATATATATGCGGCGCGCTATGTACCCTTGCAAAGAGTGGCACATGACGGGGCTCAGTAAAAACGACGCGGCGTCGTTTTTACTGAGCCGCGTTGTTTTTAATTCTGCCAGTATGCTCCTTACCTAAGTCAGACATTCTTGGACTCAAGAATGTCTGCAAGAGTCTTTTGGACTTGAGGGTAATAACTGGAAAATATTTTGAATATTATTTCATTGAGGAACACAATTGTCANCAACTTGACACAAACAAAAATTTGTAATTGGCAAACTGCATATGTTATTGGTTGAAAACAGGTGTACTCTCATGCCTGCTTGTAATGCTTGCATATAACTGGATTATTTGCTAGGATTGCACAATTTAAAAAATCTATACATTGGTGACTGGCCTAGGAAACACAAGCATACAGTTGCAGGACTGCATCTGCTAGGTAGAACATTATTTGTAGGGCATCTATTTGTACTTCATGCATATGTGACATCTATGAGCAAAGTAGGAGCCAATCCTCTGTTATGACTTTGCATAGATGTCACTTTTGCATGAGGTACAAGCACTGATTAGACCTCTTGCAAGCTAAAATGCAACTATAGGGATAACCAGCACTTGGAACTTCCTGAAAACAAAATATGTTCATCTATGTCTGAATTTCATTAGAAACAACATGTATTAAAACCTCCCTGAGTCTCAGACTTTCCCCTCAAACCTCCATACATTGGATTCTGGAGTCCTTTTATTCTATTATCACAGGAAATATGAAAGACATAAAAACGTTACAATGTCAAATGAAAGCCATACAAATAAACTTTTACTAACTTTTGAAAGGAAGTGCAGGATCAACTAGGCAAATGAACCTTTGCCTCCAGGTTCTGCATCCAGTCAACTCATTTAGGAAGTAATTTTAGGCCTAGAATATCACCAATTACAATTTGCTTCCATTCTTCTCACTTTTCCTCAACAAAGATGCTTGAAAAACAAGCATTTTTGTTGAGGGAAAGAAACAACAGCATTATTTTTTAAAATATATATTGTTTAAGGGCAGGCCAGCAAAAATTTGCAAGGCAGGCCAGTGTTTGCTAGGAAAGACATTCATTTATTTTTCTGGTGTTACTTAGGCAGGTTGATTATTTGCCAGTGCATTTGCTAGGCAAGGCATCACATATATAGTAGATGACCATGCTTATGCAAATGACATTGCATGTGTCAAAAATTCTACCATTGTTTGAATTAGCTTCTTGTCAAGTATCTCATTCAAATGAAAACAGGCCAATATACTGTCTTTTAAAACTGCTGGCCTCTTTTTGTTAAGAAGTAGTCTCATGATGCACAAAGTGTCCTGTTCTTGTATAAAGCAAACTCTTTTAGAGCATGATCTCTTGTACAGGAAGGGGACTCTAGTCAAACTGGTAGAATCTATCTAATAAGAACTCACCACCCTGGAAAGCTTGAACAATTCTTTATAAAAACCCTGAATGTACATTCTTCATGACACACTAAATATGAATATATATTTCATGCATTGGCATAAATATAGAGTACTGCAACAATAGTTTTTGCAGTAGAATTTGACTTGTGTCAAAAACTCCTGTCTTCCTGAACTGGTCAAGTATTGTATTTTTGTTGAAGCCTTCCCCTGATTATAATTAGATTGTTGTATCTGAATGATACAGGCAGTGTCCAAGAAATTATCTTGTGTGCTCAATAAAAAATTGACATCAAGACCTCAGCAATACTGTTATTGCTGAACAATATTGGTCATTCTAAGCCCATGAAACAAAATTGTTGGAACCTTTTGTAGGTAATTCCTTGCTTGAAGTAATAAAATGCCCAAGTTCAATGAAACTGATGTCAAGCAGGCCTCAGTAGAAGAGGCACTTGTCAAACCCACAATTGAATACAACTTGTCAAATGCACTTATTGTCAAACCACATTTATAAGAAAATATGCCTGAAATCTAAGACCCATGGAACATCCCATCATATCATTTCACAAATATGTGGAGAAATCATTTTTTCTCACATGGAGTCACCTGCTACACCACTTCCTGCATAAGGGATTTATTCCCGATTCTTGAAGTCACTCATGCGCAACCACAGGAGAGAGAGTGTTGGGTGCAGGGCGTGAGGGGATGGGGGACGCAGTGGCAAAGAGTTTGGACGACCAAGAGTTCTGCTCCGGCGAGATGGGGCCTCACCAGTACACTAGACCCAAAGATTCTTTCATAATTATTCGTCATTCCGTTGTGAAGATCTTCTGTAGTAGTCTCTGTTATCGCGTTACCTAAATTTTGTCTGATTAGGATATCGTCTGTCTGGGGAATGGTGATTCATTTTTCTCGGTTTTTTTTTAAGTACCTTGTCATTCAGTACACGACGCACTTCGCAAGTGCCATCTGAAAGTAAGGTCGGTTTATCTCTTAAGTTAAAACTATTTTCAGTGATACAAATTAGGTTTCCAGTGCTTTTTCGGTGCATAAGAGAAAGAGTGGATTTTCCATTTTGTGAGTGTACTTTAAAACCGCGAACCTTTCCTCTCTGTTCATGGATTTGAATGCATAATAAGGATGAGAATTTTACGTTATCTCTTATTAGCTTCCGTGATGTCGCATGTCCTTGTTTGCTGAAGAGGAACGTTTTCTTCGTATCTTGCGTTAGTTCTCATTGTGAGTCACGGCTAAAGCGTTATTTTGAGTTTTCGCATGAGTCTTTTCAAGTATGAGGCTGTGTCATTCATCTGAATTTGTTAGCTTCGTTTTCAAAATTCTACGTCGAGCGTCAGTGATGTTATTCTACTTCGAATGTATTGATATCATCCAGAACGTCGGGGATGATCGCACTTGGAAGCGCAGAGAAATCCTCCGTCGATTTTTCCGTTAGTGTTCCTTACATTTATCGTTCCATCTGAAATTCATATGCTGGTAGTGTAGCTTCTGGCAAATTTGTCCCTAGTCCTAAGAATGAAAAAATGGAACGGCTTTTCTCCAAGCTTCATAAGTAAGCTTTCCTAGTTTGGACGTATGAGGATGATGTTAGTAAATAGCCGACAGATCAATCGTCAGTGATTTGTTTCGATCAGTTTTGTCTGAAACTGAAGTGCGCTCGTTTGGTTCCAGAGGCATGACAACATGAAGAACCCGAAATACATCTGCGAGACGTGATCGCGTTTGATGGGTATCGAAGGAGTGTGTGTGGGATAGGTTAAAACCATTTTAAACGAATGGGCAACGCCGGGTCGACGAAGCCCACCATGGCGGTGCGCGACAGCCTTCATCATCACCCCCATCACCACCACCACCACCACGGGGTGGCGCCCGTGAAAACGGAGGTGGGCAAACCTGTTAGCGCCGACGTTTGCAACAATGACAGTAGCAGTGCTGATGAAGAGTGGCGCTCAGATTCACCCATGCCGGACGCCATGGAGCTGGAGCGGCGCTTTACTAAGGCTCTGGCGTCCATGGATCTTCCACCTGACAAAGCCAAGGTACTGTACTGTGTTTACACTAAACAGGGCATCGTATTGGCCGCCCTTTGCGAGTGTCCCCCGCATTTGTGCTTAAGTTGTTGACGAATTTCTGTTGTCAAAAGTCACGTGTCAAATAAATATTGAGCAAGTCCAATTTAATGTGTCCCATGTACAATAATTTCAGAATTTCTACGTGGGATATGGTGTACCTGGATTAGTAATGTCTATGGAAGCCCTTTGTCGTGCAATTCCAATCAAGTAAATTTGACATATTTTTCTAATGCGAATCCATTGTCCCTGATGTAGGAAAAAATATACGTACGCTATTTATGTCATATATATGGAAAAGCTGAAATAATTCAAGGCTCTTGCGTTCGTAGTGTCCGGAAAAAGTACAGTAAAATGCAAGTGTTGTTTTAGCCGAAAATTTAAGTTCTTTGCATACGTATTTTTGAGTCACTATTTTCGCCGGATTTGGACCACGCTAAGAAATATTTTTTAAGCGTAGAATGCACGTTCAGTACTTGGTCACTCTTGAACTCGTGCAAATATTCGGGTCAAGACAAAGATTTTGCTGAGTAATCCCGCTGGTTTTTTTTTTTCGAGATTATTCAAGTCAAATTTATTGTAAAATGTGGAACGTTGACTGTTCGTTGATCAGAACAAATTTTGCATGCTCGCGGAAGTGAAGTTTTGAATCATTGTTTATTGCGAACAGTGCCGAAGTTATTTATTTATCTTTGAGAGTGAACCTCTGCCGGAAGAATCCGGCCCGAGTTATTGTTTAGTCGGAAAGCAGAGAGATATTTTTTTGGAACTCACATCACTCAGAAATCGAGACATTTCGAAGTTTAGACTTCGACTTGAAAATTAATTGCCGTGGATTTAATTCTGTAGTTCCGAAAATGGTCATTATTCTCACATTAATCTTGAATAATCGAGCTTTCCCCTCTAAAAACCCAATTTATGTATGGATTTTTGCAAGTTCTTTTTCATTATGAGTGGGCGTGTTGAATTTTTATGAGCGTTTTCTCAAACAGAGAAGCTTGATTGAGCCAAAAGATCAAGCATAGCACCCATGCCTCTCAACAACTTACATGTCTTCCCCTCCCCTAATTTTTACCCCCTAGAATGTAGAGACAGACTGTATCATGTATCTGTACTATTTTTAAATTTGAGAAAATTACTGGAAGTTCTCTTTGAAAAATGGCAGACGCAATCAGCATATTTTCATTTCAAGTTCAGGGAACTGGCGGAACTTATGTGTGAGGAAAACCGTAGAACCTTTTTTCGTGTGTACAGTATCCTATTTTTCAAGTGGCATTGACATTCATACGGGTACAGTACTGTTGAATCCCATCAAAGTAATCGAATGACGTTTGATCCGACGTTATCCAAGACTAATGACAGCTTCATGCGTTGAGTAAAATGTATTTACTTTTTTCTTACGTGCTTTAAAGTTATTCACAATTTTGCAGGTGCTCAAAGGATACGAAAACCAAAAAAAGTGGAACCTTATTTGCAACCAAGAAAGAATGCATGCGAAAGAACCACCGAGCCACTACCTCGACAAACTCAAGGTCTACATGGATCCCAAGGCTTCTCGAAGTTCGCGGAAGAAGCGTCTGCTCGGCGGTCGCACGTCCACTCAACTTCTCCGTAATCTCGAGACGTCGCTTCGCACGAACCACATCGAATGGGTCCGGGAATTCCTGAGCGACGAGAACAAGGGTCTGGACGTGCTCATCAGCTACTTGTCATATCGTCAAGTGTACATGCGAAATTACATCGTCGTGCTGGAAGGCGACGATGAGGACAAGATAAATGGACTCGAAACGCGAACTCGGGCCAGTGACATCTTCCCAGATCATCCGCCTCACTCGCCGAAAATTCAACACAGAGCGTCTATTTTGAAGCATCACGAGACCAAGTTGAACATGGGGGTTGCCCACGATGACATACACGTTTGCATCATGTGCCTTCGCGCGATCATGAACAACAAGTACGGATTCAACATGGTTATCAAGCACAAGGAAGCTATTAATTCCCTGGTCCTGGGCATGAACCATGACCGTCAAGGTACCAAAGCGCTAGTGTTGGAGCTCTTGTCGGCGATTTGCCTGGTCAAAGGCGGCCATCAGATCATTCTAGGTGCATTTGACAATTTCAAACTCGTCTGCGCCGAGAGCCATAGGTTCCAGATCTTGATGCACTACTTCAGAAACTACAAAGAGTTCCATGTCGAGTTCATGGTCGCCTGCATGCAGTTTATCAACATCGTGGTCCACTCGGTGGAAGACATGAACTTCCGAGTGTTTTTACAGTATGAATTCACGCAACTCGGGCTGGATGCGTACCTCGAAAAGATTCGGTGGACAGAAAGTGACGAATTGCAAGTACAGATAGCGGCGTATTTAGATAACGAATTTGACGTTGCTGCGTTGATGGAAGACAGTATGACGAAGGGTGCTGCGTTGGAGCGGGTGTCGGATCTGCAGGAAGACCTTGCTCGAATGAAAGAACTCTGCAGCACTTTGGAAAACGAACACATTGCAAAAATGGTTGAGCTTGAGATGCAACTGTCGGAGGCGAGACGAGAGAAGGAAGACCTGCTGCAAACGAAGCAATCCATTTCCGAAGAAATTTCCACCCTAAAGCGTGCCGTGACGGAAAAGGAAGAAGAATCCAGACAACGGCAATCCATGCTGGAGAAACACATTGCTGAGCTAGAACAGGGTTCTGGAGTGACTTCCACGCTTCCTATGCCTATCAAATCATCAGCCCCGGCTGCGCCTCCGCCGCCTCCTCCACCTCCGCCTCCACCACCACCGCCGCCTCCTCCGCCACCAGGCATGGGTGCGCCGGCTCCACCACCTCCTCCGCCGCCTCCTGGTACCGCCAATGCCATGACCATCAAGCGGAAGTTCCATTGCAGCAAATACAAGCTACCGATGCTGAACTGGGTTGCTATGACCCCGAACCAAGTCAAAGGCACGATTTTCAGCGGTCTGGATGACGTGAAGCTCCAAGGCGTGATCGATTTTAACACATTTGCGGAAATGTTCAAGCTTGGTCCTGCGGAAGGCGTGAGTTCTCCCGAGGATGAAGTGGAAGGACTCAGTAACTTCCCGAGCAAACGGTTTGTTCTGATCAAAATACGTCACTCTTACGAAAGTACTGTACTCACATTTGATTTCCGCGCGTAGTCCAATCTTTCGCGTTCTCACGCTATATTTAATTCGATGGTAGGACAGTTGAGATAAGTTCGTGTAAATTTTTTTCCCACCTTCCACATTTCAATTTCGCTGACTTTGATGTCCTGAGTGAGGTGGAGGAAAATTTAATTCAGCCCGAAGAGATAACTCGGTCCCTTTCTTGCGTCATTTCTAATTTATCCAAATCGTCTCGTCAACAAAATACATCTTTCCCAGACAATCGGTCAGGAAGATCATCAGTCTGAACTCTGAAGTCATGCATGATGGGAAAAGTTGCATGCATATTTGACCGACTATTTCTTCCTTTTACAATACAGTATATGATTTACTAAAACAATATGTGGCCATAAAACTTGCATTTCTGTAGCAAAGTGAGGTTATAATCCAGAATATAATTTCCGATGGCAAAAAATATTTTATACTGTAACATTGAATGCATCATTTTCGTTTTTGATGCTGCTTGAAAAAATTGAACTGCCTGCAAAACCACACATTTTTAGCGATGGCTCAGGTTATTTACTTATTGTACCCATGTAAAAAAAAACACGAAAATTTTGTAGAGTGATTGAAATGTTCACTGCAGTTTCAAAAATAAATGATATTTTTTGATGACCGCATGATAAATACTGTAAGTTTGAATTATAAATTTAATATAATTTTGTTTGGAGGAACAAATATCATTTAGTATACCGATTTTCCTTCTGCTGTATTGCAACAATTCCCTGTATGAGTGTGTGAGAAAATATGCAGTAAAAGTCGCCTTAATACGAATTTCTTCCACTCATTTTTTTTCTGGCGTTTGTATTGTTTGACAACAGATTTAAGAAGCCGGAGACCATCTCGCTGTTGGAGCACACGCGCTTGCGAAACATCGCGATTTCCAGAAGGAAGCTAGACCTTTCAGTGGAAAGTGTGACGAGGAGCATAAATTCTTACGATTTGAAGACAATGCCTGTGGAAGCGGTCGAGCTGGTGCAGAGAATGGTTCCAACTGAGGCCGAAGTTAAAGCTTACAAAGAGTATGAACGAGAACGACGTGACTTGAGCAAGCTCACGGAAGAAGATAGGTTCTTGCTTCAGCTGACCAAAATTGAGCGCCTGGGAACCAAGCTGACGATCATGAAATACATGGCTGATTTCGGAGAAAGTGTCGCCACTCTGATGCCGCAATTCCATTCCGTCATTGCTGCATCCAGATCAGTGAAAAATTCTGGGAAATTCCGCGGTATTTTGGAGATCGTCTTGGCGTTGGGGAATTATCTGAATTCGAGCAAACGGGGTCCAGCGTACGGATTCCATCTTCAGAGTCTGGAGTCTCTGGTGGACACCAAGTCTGGGGACCGGCGATGGTCATTGCTTCATTACATAGCTGATGTCGTGCGAAGCAAGTTTCCGGATCTGGTGACTTTTGAAGCCGAGTTGCGGTATATTGAAAAGGCCGCGCAAGTTTCTGTGGAGAATCTCATGGGAGAAATGGCGGATTTGGACAAAGGCATGGAGTTGGTGCGACGGGAAGTGGCTGCGGCATTACAGGGTGTTTCCTCCAGTTCAGTCGCTGATAAGCAGCTGGCTGTCAAAGATTTCTTGGCTGAGTCGGAAGAGAAGCTGAGAAAGTTGAAGGCTGATTGTAACATGGCTATGCAGGTTTGTTTTCGTAAAAACTATGCTCTTCTCGACATCATTTGTAGAGTCCACGTGACAGAAAGGTGAATTTCACTTTGAACCCTGTTGTGACCATTTTGTACATGCAGGAAGAAACCAGAAGTGGATAGATTTCAGGATGAATTCGTAGGATTGAAGCGCTATTTTAACTTCGAGTGACACCTATCTGTACTGAAATAAAGATCGAAGTGTTCAAGCCTCCTCAGCTTTTTAAAAGAACAAAGATTTCGACATCGTTGTACTGTATTCTCTTGTACAGGTATATACAGTATAGAACCTTCTCTGCGTAAATTTCTGTTCAACTAAGCCCCGCAAGTTATTTGAGTCTCCAACCTTTAGTTTAAGGGTCTCAAAGTCATTTGCCAATTTTCATATCTACAGTACTTTCAAACCTGTTACACTTCGAAAATACTGTTGAACCTCCGTAGCTTGAACCTCTCCACATCGAATTTGTTTCAAGTCCCTTTCTGAATTTCCTTAGAAACAATGCATTAAGAACCTTATTAACTGAAGGCTTTCCCCTCAACCCTCCATGAGTCGAATTTCTCAGAGGACTTCTGACTAATTTTTATTTACACAGGAAAGAGCAAGTAAGACAAAATTAACTTAATGTATGAACTTGAAGGAAGTTATTGACTAATCAGGCAAATAAACCCTTGCTTTCAACTTCAGCATCTTGTCAACGCATTCAGGAAGCAATTTTAAGCCCATCGTGTCACAAATTACAGTTTCATGTAATTCTTTTTTCTTTCCCTCAACAAAAATGCATGTCTTCTTAGCTTGAAATCTCCCAAACTCGATTTTTTTTTTCTGGTCCCTTGAAGTTTGACTTGAAGAGGTTCGACTGCATCTTGGAATGCATGTCCTCGATTTTTTGGCATATGATTTCGTCCTTCCGGCAAATACTCCACTGTTCCTGTCAGTTCCGGTAACGTTGATTTCGGCTTTGTTTTGTTTAGGTTTACTCCGAAGTAGCTGAGTATTTTGGCGAAAGTTCTCGAGTGATCGGAAGCAGTGCTTTCTTCTCCATGTTCGTGCGGTTCTTGAGAGCATATCGATCAGCGGACGAAGAAAATGTGCATAGGCGTAAGCTGGATGCTGCACATAATGGGAGTGAAACTGCGAAGCGGGATTTGGCTGCAACGAACAAAGACCGGCAACAGGCTGTGGTTAACGAACTCAAAGGCCGGACTTTGCAGGAGAAGCAGTTACTGCCACAGGATCAGGTACATTTAGACGGGATTTTCATTCGTTTTATGTGATAAAATGTTCAATCCTGTATCTTGGTCTGCCATTTTGGAAAGGTAAGCGAGAAAAAATAATCTGTTCCGGATATCAATGCCATGTTTTAATTTAATTTAATCAATCTTTAAAATAAAGAACGCAGCATAAAAATTAAAACTTTTCAAACTCGTATTCCTCCAGCATTTCAGTTTAAATCGGGCGTATTCAGCATGCTCAAATTATTTGATTTCTTTCTTTTTGGAATCACCAGTCTTCCGCAATTATTTTCGAGACAGATTATAAAGTTTTTGTATCAATTTAATTGAATTAAAACTACATTGACGTAAAACAATGTAAAATGCGTTTAAATGATGAAGTATCTCCGAGATTTCTAAAAGCAATTCTTAACATTTCTAACTGCAAAGGTTCATTTTAATTTTATTCAAAGTTGTATGGATCTTGCTAGCAATACTGTACCATGATTACGATTTCTCCAACAGTTTTAATAGAGATGCAAAGGAAACCTTGTTAGATGCTTTGTCACCTGCTCTACCTCAACTTTCCAAGTTTATGTTTTTCTTCAAGGGAATGCTTGAAACTCATGATCAGCCTTACAAATGTGTGTTTTGTGCCTTTTTTGTTGTTGAGAAAATATGTACCGTATGCATTCGAATGGGTGCACCTCTTCCAATCTCTCCATTGACTCAACATTTTATATGCGGATCTAAGATGGACTCAAAAATTTTTTATTCGAAATCAGAATTTTTTCATGTGCGAAGTATTTCAGCGCTGCACTGCATATGTTTTTAATTTTTTCATCGCGGAATAGTCCGTAATTCTTTATTACACATTGCGACCATTGGACGTTTGTATTCATGATTTCACAAATCTGATGTTTTTGACAGGTGAACGACGGGACATTGGAGGATTTGTTGAGTCGGCTACATAGTGAGCCTTACCGAAGGGCTGATGCATTTCGTCGATCCCAACGAAGGCAAGGGAATCAAAAATTAATGCAGCAAACATCTCAAGTCGGCGTTTGATTTTTTTCATTTGTGGTGAGGCCCGTTTGCGTATTTTCATTATCTTTCCGTGAGAAAATCCGCAATGAATTATTCTTGACCTTCGCAGAAGAAATCACCCTTTCAACAATTAGAAGAAATCAAAGATGGTGCTGCGGAAAACTAAAAAAGAAAGAAAGAAAATTTCGGAGTCATGATCTTGGCCAGTTTTCCAATGATCAATGAGCTACAAGAAGAAGCGGCATGATCAACTTACTGCGTGGCTCCTGCTGGAAACATAAGCACAAACGAAAACACTTTACCTGAACTTTTGACCAAGAGCAAATTTCCCATGATGTACATTCCTCGTAGCGATGGGGGCAAACGAATCTTTCGTGAGTGACTGCGAGTTAACAGCTTTTTTTTTTTGACCGCTTTTCGTTGTTTTTATGAGCTTGACGAGTCGAATCTGTTTTTTGTCAAGTGACGAAGCACGGGTTTGAGAATCACGCGTTTTGTGTCATAAGTGAGATTTTTTTTCCCCGAGGCTAGAAACCTTTTAGTCAGCGTTTTGACGATTATTATAAATATTTTTGTTTGATTTTGTACGACTAATCGCGTTGGGAAGTTCTAGTCTCTGCTTCACACATTGCTTCCAAAAATGTTCTAAGATCTCTCGTTTTTTGCGGACTACGCCAGAAAGAAAGAAAGAATCTGCGGACATTTGATGGTCACTCAAAAAGGATACAACGTTCGAATGCTCATAGTGGTTCACTCGTAGCTTTCCTTGCTCTCTGTGTTACATTTTATGCGCGTGTATATTTGATTTTTTGCGGAATCCGCAAGCCTTGGCCCAGAGGAACAGAGACATATTTTGTACGATATTTTTTTCAGTATTTCCGAATCCAAACGAATTTTTTGCATTGCGTTATATATTTTTTTTCTTCGTGCTTGTGGAAGAAATCATTGTGTTGGTGCATTTTTTTTCGCGTGTGGGATTTTTGATTGGAAAATTGTTTTTTTCTTCCGCTGTGAACTCCTCCGCGGTTCGCCTTGAAAGAAGTGCTTTGAGCAAAGAATAATTTATAGCTGCGGTGTCATTGCAGACGTGGATTAATTTGAGGGCAAATCGGATCCAACTTTGTGATAATGGCTACTTCGCGACTTCCACTTTCGCTGTGAGAAAACACGATTTTTCTCTTTACTCAACTGAGCTCCCTCGTTTTATTTCGGAATAAGTTGTAGGGAAGATCTAGGATGACATTTACACGTACCGTACATGTGCGTTATTTTACTGTGGCTTTATCGTCCGACAATGACGGCATATTCCTGTTGTCTCTAAAAATAAAATTTAAAAAGCCATCACTGAGTAAAAAGTTGATTTTTTCAATCATCGATCGAGACTTACAATTGTTGTCACGGTCACATTCTCATAATCTCCATACAAGTAGCATGCGGGGAGGGAGCTGGGTTTAAAGTGAGATAGTGGATATTCCACTGCCCCCAGCTTCTCATTATCCTACTGGAGTATCACTATCCCCAACTCCAGCTGTTCGCAGCAGGAAAATAAAAAAAAATCTTCCCAAGAAATGTGGGTTGGACCTGTGGAAGAAGTGTTCAGAATTGGGATATGAGACAATTTTGAAACAACGTCTTCCCTGGTTTTAGGAAGAAAATAATTTTGTCCTCTACAAATACGTATTTATTGCAGGGGAGATGCTCTGACCCAGCTGCAAAAAAAAAAAAGCATATCAAAGTTGGCATCCAAGAATGCCAACCCCGCAGAAGGGCTGGGAAGGGACTTATGTTATTTTTGTGAGGCTCGTTTTTTCAGAGATTATTTTCCAATTGTTGGGGACACATGTTTTGTTGTCAATATTTTCTTACACCTAAGAAAATGATTGGAGAATCATAAAATTTTAATTATGTGAGGCCCGCGTGAATGCCAGAAGAAAAATGCTGCGGACGCTTCTCAATGCTTATAAAAAAATCCAACCATGCAGGGGATGAAAATGAGCAACGATATTCAAAATGTCTTTTACAAAAGCATTACAAATTGGTAGCTAATTTGTGATGCAGGGATGTATAAAAGAGATGAAATCCATACCCTGACGATGGAGAATTGAATCCACTGTGCTTCTATGAATCTGGTAGGTGGGATAATCCCATGGTCTCAAAAGTTTGGCATTGAAAATGTCCCTGGGGTGTCTTCCAAACTGTTCGAAAGCTTAGTGAGAGTGTAGGATTATTCTTCCTTTCTCAAGACTGATGAAACAGATGTGATTTATTCTTTATGACCCGGTACAATCTTTTATATGTAGGCACAAAAAACTTCATGATGGGTGTTTTTTAAATCCATTTTATTTTCTTGTCTGTTCCGCATTTCTGAAAGAAGCCAGTAAACTGCGCTTTTGTAAAATGTACGGATCCTCCTAGAGCTTTATCTTGTTCCAAGAGCGACACCTATGAAACATATTACGATATGCGACGGGGCTTTGTGAGCATCTGCCGTGCCTTGCTAAGCGCTGCACGCGCGCGACGCTCACCGTTTCCTCCAGTTGGGGGACTGTGGTATTGGCCCATGACGCGACGTTATGGTACAACTTCCACTCAATGCAGCCCCATTCAGCGCTACCTCTTCCACGCCACCCCTAGGAGCGCCAGCTTCTCATTGAGTGACTTCAACTGTAATGCTTTAGTGGTGTCAAATGTAAACTGAGACTCCAAGGGACAAATAACATAGTGCACATATAAAACACCTTTCTTAAATAACTAAAAATATATGGTACTTTCCTGTTATCTCTGTACCTCATTCCTAGACCACACTACCATCCAGACAAATCTTAGGACAAGTTCATAATCACAATGACCTACCAGAAACTGTGAATTTTATTTTTCTGCAATCTGCTGAAACTGATGTTGGGAGGCGGTTAGGTAAAGTTAGGTTAGGTCAGGTTATGTTAATTAAAAGATATTTGATATTTGGGAGGTAGTTAGGTAAAGTTAGGTTAGGTCAGGTTATGTTAATTAAAAGATATTTGATATTTGGGAGGCAGTTAGGTAAAGTTTGGTTAGGTCAGGTTATGTTAATTAAAAGATATTTGTAACTAACATAACCTGACCTAACCTAACTTCACCCAACCACCTTCCAAAATCAGATAACAATAATTACAGTATTTTCTGGTCATGTTTGGAAGTCATTTGCACAAATCAGCAGTAGTGATGGAATACCTTTGAATTTGTTTACCACTTTTGGCAACCACTAAACACTTCTCATAAAATAACAAGAATAAAACATTAAGAATGCTGCAAGTTCATGTATTGAATAGTATGCTATCTTCCTACACCATTCCTCAACATGTAATTCCTATCTGCAAGCATACGCAGTTCATGAAGTCACTCATTCGTGGCGCTGAGGGAGGGAGTGGAAGGAACAGCCCTTTAGGGGGGCAGCGCGGAAGTGAGTTGCGTTGAGTTTGAAAGTGTACCATAATGTCCGGTCACCTTTCTTGGACCTGTGGGCAGGTTCTTCAGCCCACGTCCCGTGGCGAAATGGTCCACATTGAATCACAGGATATCCCGACCGAGAGTCTGAAATTTCACTATATGATTTGATCCGTGTTAGTAAGGTGTTCTCTTCTTCATGAGTTTAGATCTGAGAGATCCCTGCTGTGTTTAGTGGAATTCTACTGCTCAGAATTGATGTCAGTTTTAAATTTCTCGTCGCGGCACGATTAGCTGTTATGAACAGAGTTTTTGCTCCGCAATCGGTGGCAGTGTTTATTCTTGATTCGTACAACCAATTATAACAATTTAGGTTAACAATTTAGACAGATCCCACCATTATTCGATTATACTTTTCTCGTGCTTTCAGGACCTGGGTTACCATCAGATAAGCAGTGTGTATTCCTGTCTTCCTCTGGTGTGAGCATGCCGGTGAGTCTTCAATTACACTCCTTCGGTGTATTAAAGTGTTCTGATCTTCATCAAAAATCACGGTTTTTCTTTTAGGCTTACCATTCCCAGATATCTTCTGCACCGCAAGTGATAGGCAATACCGCCCTTCTCCCCGTGAAGACAACGTTCAGGGGCCCTGCTGGAAAAATTGTCGATGCGAACGAGCAGGACATCATCGACGAAGCTTTGTATTATTTCAGGTCCAATGTGTTCTTCAGAACCTACGAAATAAGGGTAAGTTACTGATAGATCTCCTGATGGAAAATCAGTTTAAATTTCTGTCGAATATCAACGCACTGACGACTTGTTCGATTTAGTCTTGTGCCCAATTTTTTCCCTTTCTTGATAAATTATCCAAGTTCCGGGAGTTTTTTTTTTTTTGGCAGTGAATCACCTTACATTCACTCATGTTTATCAATAAGTTCTCTTTACTTTTTAGTCTGAAGCGGACCGTGTGCTCATTTACTTGACGCTTTACACCACCGAATGCCTGAAAGAACTTCAAAAGTGTCCGAATAAGAATGCCGGTGTCCAGAAAATGTATTCCCTGGCCATTTCTCGGTTTGATATTCCTGGTGACCCGGGGTTCCCTCTGAACCCGGTATACGCTAAACCTGCAAGCCCTCAAGAAGCTGGTGAGCAAGAATTGTTACTGTTTCAAGTTTTTCTTCATGTGGGTTTTCTGGCGCTAGTTGAGTTGAAGAGAACTGGCATTCAGTTGGGTCCGCAAAAAAAAAAAAAAAGATTGACTTGGTGGCGATAACATAACCTTTATGCCTTGTAACCATTCCTAAATTTCAGATAGTCCCATGGATGTACTTCATAACATGCTAACGTTAGGAAAGTAAATGATTGTGTTCAGCTGGACACGTGCCGGTTTATGAAATGTTTGAGCACCGCAGATGATGCATCTCGTATCAATTCCGAACTTTTTCAGATCTTATGAGGCAGTATTTTACCCAGTTACGCCAAGAACTTGGAGTAAGACTCTGCGACAAAGTCTTCGATACAAAGGACGGAAAGCCATCGAAGTGGTGGCTGTGTTTTGCTCGTCGTCGCTTCATGGACAAGTCACTGTCCAGCCTTGGTCAATGATGCTTTGGGTGTTTTTCCCTTTAATTTATGATCAATCAGATAGATATATTCTGTGGCTTTTTGCTAATTAATAATATTCATTGTGAATCGCGTTTGATCATCGGTGATTTCATTCCACAAAATATTTCCCTACCGTTTGCGGGAACTTATTGAAAAAGGCAGTTGTTGAATGCCTGTGTCATATTAGAGTTCGCTGTTTTGCTTGTTTCAAAGTTATTTTTAAAATCCTGGAATTAAAAAGAATCCCTTGGGTAATGTAACTTGCATTTTGGAAAGGATTTTGTGAAATGAGTGAAAACAAGCCGCGGTATCGTCAGAAGCGAGGCAAAACCAAACGTTATTTTGAGCCGCTGGATGAAGAATTTTTACCCGATGATTTGGGAGAAAAACGTACCGGAGCTATTGGCCTTCTCAATTCCTTAGGCCAACAGAAAATTGTCGAGCAAGTTAATGAAGCTGTGAAGTTTCATTTCAACTTGAAGCCGTTGTTGCCACAGGTAAGCGAGGTAATATTTTCCAGTGTTACTCTAACAGCACAGATCGAGGTTGTGTTCGCAGTTCAAGAAAGTTAAGAAGCCGAAGCAGAGAGGAAAGCTTAGTTCTAAGCAATTGAAAGTCTTGAATCGAAGAATGCTGTTGACAGAAAAATTCAAGTTTGTTGACGTGGAGCCACTTCATGAGCTATGGAAGCAATACGCGATAGATTTCCTTGACCTGGATCGGGGCAAATCCCTAGTTTTTGATCCCTCCGATTCTCAGTATTCGTCCGTGCTTGCCAGGTTGGTGTAGATTTTTGAATTTTGGTTTGTTTCAATCTTGTGCAAGAGTAGATTAATCATGAGCGCAAAAATTCACTTGATTCTCGCCGATTATGACCAGAAAAACGTGAATATAATGTGATGAACGTGAATATAGTACCTCTGATTTACTAGATTACTTTCCTCGGATGTTGGAACTTCATGATTCACTTCAAAGTTGTTTATGATATTTTTAATGTATTTTCAGAATCGCTAAGCTGGACTTTCATGGCTGTCTCATCGCAGTTCAGCGAGCCTTTTGTCCATCGAACGTAGGAGTTTCTGGGATCATTATCCAGGAAACACGGTTTACGTTTCGGATTGTTACTCGAAAAAATCAAGTCAAGACTCTGATGAAGGACGGATCTATCTTTGACTTCACCTTGCTCGACCTTAAGTTTTCGGTGATCGGTTCCTCCATTTTGATGAGGCCAGTGGAAAGATCTACAAAGAAGATGAAAATTTCACAGCCCATCTTCCACTTTGCGTTGAAGTCGTGATTGATTGTTATTGCTGTACCTGCTAAGGATGTTCAGGAAAACAAAAGCTTTTCCCCTTTTCACGATTCTGGCGTGTTAGAATTGTCGGGTGAATCAGACAATACTGTATTGGAATTGAAAATGTTTGATTTTCACCTTCCAGGTTTTACGCGAATAATTTGTGCTTTGGGGAAAAAATATTAACGAAAGTTAAGTCCGAAAATGGATTTCCAGCATAGAGCAGGTGGAAAAACAGGCACTGGTGGTCAAGCATCATGGTCCGAATCAAATCAGGATCGCAGAGAACGACTTCGGCAACTTGCCAAAGAAACTATTGATCTCCAGAAGGATCCCTATTTCATGCGAAATCATTTGGGTAAATATTTTTCTTCTGAAAACCGTTCATACTTCTGCAGATTTTAGCATCGTGTGTTTAAAAAAAAAAAAAAGAGCAGTATTCTGCATTTTTTCTCGTTACCCAAGGCCCGATTCTTCGGCCACCTAATTTCTTTTTAACCGTAGTCTGTTCAAAATACTTCAGCCATGCAATCATTCGATTGTTCATGTTGTGTTTACAGGTTCCTATGAATGTAAGCTCTGCTTGACGTTACACAACAACGAGGGAAGCTATCTTGCTCATACACAGGGCAAGAAGCATCAGTCGAATTTGGCCCGACGAGCAGCCAAAGAAGCCAAGGACAGTCCCCAGCAGGTCAATTTTTTGCACTTAGCCGCCGCGCCCTTCTGTATTTTTACTCACTGTGACGTGTGAGGGTGATTCACTTTCCAATTATGTACAAAATACCCGTGGGCTTTTTAGCGAGTTGTGAACGTAACACTTGAAAAGGTTTGCCAAGGCACAATGAAGAAAGGTAAAATTTCTGCTTTTTCCAAGCAACAGCACATTTTTTGCTCATGGTATAAGAACGGAAACTTCTTCGATTTTCTCATGGCAGATCAGCTGATTTTTTCACAAAAAAAAATTACAAAATGTTTGATGTTGCTAGTTGACTGCATAAAGTTCAATATAACAGAAATTAATTGTTCATTTATTTTTATTCGAGCCCATCGGAAATCATCGATTAGTGAAATGACCCAAAATTAGATTTATTCCGGATTTCTTTGAACATCGTTGTCTCGAGGAGGACGTGATGACAATATGGTACTGCATCCTAATACCCAAATAATTAAACTTAACCTATTCTCAACTCGCTTAATTTTTCTACCTCCAATGTGAAATGAAAGCACTGCAGAAAAGTGATGCGAACTTTTCATTCTTATTTTTTAACTACGTTTTTATCAAATTTCAGCCGGCTCCGGAGAAAGCCCGCATAGAGCCCAAGAAATTTGTCAAAATTGGGCGTCCTGGTTACAGAGTGACGAAACAAAAGGATCCCATGACTGGACAACAGAGCTTGCTGTTCCAGATTGACTATCCTGGTGCGTTTGTCGTTCAGCTAATTTTTTTCTTCATGGAATTTTGACCATACTCCGGGGTAATATGTGCACTGTACTGAATGCTTTTCTGTCCGCACAAGCATTCAACAGTTCCCGTGGGAACGTTCACTGTAATCACTGCAATGAAGGTGATCTTCGCGGGAAATTATGAGTCTGAGGATTTGTTTTTTAATTCGTCATTTATTTTTTCTCCCTGTCATTTAGAAATTGTGGATGGAATCCAGCCGAGACATCGGTTCATGTCCGCTTATGAACAGAGGATCGAGCCGCCAGACAAGAAGTGGCAATATCTTCTATTCGCCGCGGAGCCGTATGAAACAATTGCGTACAAGGTACTGTATTGGAAAATAAAGTACCGGTAGTCTGAAATTACTCGAAGGAATTAAATGAATTACTAATGAATTTTTTTCCTAAATATTGGTCGTTCTGTGAGTTTTGAAAAGTCATTTTTATGACAGCAACATCAATCAGTTTTGACTGGTGTTGACCAGTCAGTCAATTTGTTTTTTTTTTCATTGAGAACAATACATTTTGAAAGTTTTTTTTTCCATGGATAGAATTACAAAATGCTGGGATCTGTTTTTAGTTTAAAGCTGGAGAAAATGATTTATGAATTCCTAAGAAGTTTGAATGATCGAGTTTTGCCTTTAATGTCTGGTGTCCTCAATCTCTCATGTGCTGGATTAATTTTAGATGACCACCATTCAAAATAACTTTTAATTTTACTTCTAAATCCACAAAAATTATAGATTTGTTCCTTTCAGTTTTGTGGCAAAAGTATAACGAATTAATTACTTAATTCAGGATGCTTTCGAAATTTTGGTAAGCTTTATCTTGCGGTGGGTCATATTTTTATGCAAATGCAATATTCTTACCTTCTATTGTCTTCAATCCGACTATATTTGTTTTGTAGGTTCCGAGTAGAGAAGTGGACAAGAATGAAACGAAGTTTTGGACGCACTGGAACAAGGACACTAAGCAGTTTTTCTTGCAATGCGCCTTCAAGCATGAGAACCTGAGGTCTATGGGTCGGATGGGGCCTCCGCCTGGGGGAATGCGGGGTCCTATGCCGCCACCTCCTCCGCCGCCGATGTGAAGATGTTTTTTTTTTCATGTACTGAATGAAGTGTAATTGTCTGTCTGAAAGAAGTACATATTTCTTTGGTTTGATCTTGGTAAAGTCATTCCTAGCATGAGTAGATAACCGCATTGACCCATTTGACCAAAATACTCTTTCGCCTCCGTCCGGAACTAAAAACTGTGTATGAGAAGGAAATAAGTTTGTATTGTTGGAGAGCAGTTGAGCTTTCTAACAAATAACCTTTTCTTTCTTTCATTCTCTAACATAACATTCTCTTGCATGCAGATTATGAAAAGCAAATGCGACCGTGACATCAACAGTCTCGGTCGATGATTTAAAAAATTAGCTTTTTACTCGGTCATGGAGTTTTAAATTTTATTTTTAGAGACAACAGGAAAATGCCCTCATTGTTGGACAGTAAACTAACGCGCAGAATATTTTTTTTCAAATTCTAGAAATGTGTGCCCTTCACGAATTACAGTACAGTACAGTACTTACAGATACAGTAATTACCTCCAGAGACCACCACTACTGTATTTCCAATACCTCTGCGTGAGACCATACTTATGCAAGAAAACACTTCCCTTTGCGTCACCAAAAGCACAAAAGGCCTTTGCTACCAACCCATCACCTGGACCATTCTTACGCGTACAGAAAGAAAGTTTAATCCAATGTCCTCCCCTCATCCTGAATCTGCAAAGCCTCCTTTCGGGGGAGAAAGGTGGGTGGTGTAGTTTCTCGCCGGAGAAGGAAGCCACGCCAGCGAAATTCCGCGCCACTGCACCCTGACCCCCTCACTCCCTATTCTCATCACTCTCTCCTTTACGCACACTAGTGACAGACCTGAGGGTCTGGGTTTACAGTGCACTGAGTGGTGTCACAGGAAAACTCCTATGTGCCAGGTCTAATGGTTTCTCATTACAAAGAAAACTTCATGTTTTGTCCGTAAAATTTATTTCAATTAAAATTCAAAACACTGGTTCAGTTCAATGATTCAGTTAAGCAATAGCTCATTACAGAAAAATTGTGATCTGCACTGTACAGCCCTTTATTGTTTTCTGTACCTCATCAAACTTTTTATAACATTCTCTTGCATGCAGATTATGAAAAGCAAATGCGACCGTGACATCAACAGTCTCGGTCGATGATTTAAAAAATTAGCTTTTTACTCGGTCATGGAGTTTTAAATTTTATTTTTAGAGACAAAAGGAAAATGCCCTCATTGTTGGACAGTAAACTAACGCGCAGAAGATTTTTTTTCAAATTCTAGAAATGTGTGCCCTTCACGAATTACAGTACAGTACTTACAGATAATTACCTCCAGAGACCACCACTACTGTATTTCCAACACCTCTGCGTGAGACCATACTTATGCAAGAAAACACTTCCCTTTGCGTCACCAAAAGCACAAAAGGCCTTTGCTACCAACCCATCACCTGGACCATTCTTACGCGTACAGAAAGAAATATTAATCCAATGTCCTCCCCTCATCCTGAATCTGCAAAGCCTCCTTTCGGGGGAGAAAGGTGGTATAAGGTCCTTGAGCGACACCTAGAAGCTACTAATCAAAAGCCTTCCATCTTCGTCCATATTTCCCATACAAAGCCTGGAATCCGGTACGAGGTGGTGGAAGCAAGAAATGGATTCATTCTGTCACTAGCTGTCTCACGGTTGACAGTGCTTCACCCTTTACTTCCAGTCAACTGATGAGTGTGGCCCCGACAATTTGTTGTGAGAAAGAATAGACTGTTCGTCGGTGAAGCCCAAGTATTCATTTACTCATCGAAATCTTACTATTAGTATTGTGTTTACCGTTGAAGTTTTGTCTCCCATTTCCGTGTCTTCTCGGAATTCAGCTTGATCTTTCTCCAATAGGATGATCGGACGCTTCAATATTTTTAGTAGTAGGTTACTGTGACAATATGAAAAAGTTATATCTGAATTAGTATTCTTTCCATCGCGAAGTCCGATTTTGCATCCGAAATGGATCGCTATCAAGAGCGGGAAGAGCTCAGACACATAGTTCAACAATGGAACGCAAACCGACTCGATCTTTTTGCGTTGTCGGATCCTAATGAAGTAAGTTTACTGCATACGAAATCCCTGTCGCATTGCTAATGAGGACGTATTTCCGAAGGATTTGGAATTCCATGGAGTGATGCGGTTTTATTATCTGGATGACGGGTCGAAGGTGGCAACGAAGTGCATACGTGTTTCCTCCACTGCGACGACAAATGCGGTCATTGAAACTTTGATAGAGAAATTTAGACCCGACATGCGAATGCTAAGCAGCCCTGACTACTCTTTGTTCGAAATCCATGAAACTGGATGTGAGTTCTCTCCTGCGTTACATATTGAATTTGACGTCGTGTATGAATTGGGGTTTTGTTTATTTTTATATTTGCAGCTGAGAGGAAGATGTCTCTGGATGAAAAGCCGCTGTTGGTCCAGTTGAATTGGCATAAGGACGATCGAGAAGGCCGGTTTCTTCTCCGTCGATTCGACGATAAATCAAATGCGGTTCCAAGCCCGATGGCTGAAAGTAGTTTCAAGCGGAAATTGTCGAAGCGTGAGAAGAAGCAGCTCAAGAAGCAAGAAAAACTACGTCGAATGAAATCCGGTAGTGGCGCGACTCCAGAGCAGCCATCAAATGTGGCTGAGAAGCTGTACTCGGAATTGCCTGAAACTAGTTTCACTCGTAGTATCAGTAATCCCGAAGCAGTCATGAGGCGTCGACGTCAGCAAAAGCTTGAGAAGAAGCTACAGCAGTTTCGTTCTCGTGATGGTGGACCAGACACTGGCGGCACTCTCAAGATATATGGTGAATCTTTGTGTCGAGATGTTCCATATAAAACACTGCTGTTGTCTGTGAAAGACTCAGCCGCAACTGTGGTCAAAGAAATGCTGGACAAGTACGGACTGGATAATGAAGAAGCTTTCAACTATTGCCTCATTCAAGTGGTCACTCCCGGTTCGGCAGAAGGAAACAACGGGCGCATCTCCGCCACCCGTGAATACGTTCTCGATGACGACGATTGTCCATTAGCAATTCTAATGATGCAACAGTCCGGTTCAATAACTTTCCATGTACGAAAGCGCCCCGCTGATTATCAGCCTCGCAAGCGGAAGAAAAAGAAAGAACCTTCTTTGAACGAATCCCAAACCACTCTGGTTCCGCCTGGAACCCCATCCTCGCTTCCCATGTTTTTAGAAATCAATCCGGACGGGAGCGAAATGCGTTCGGGGTCGCCAACTCGGTACTTTCTTCAACTGAACGTTACGGAGGTCGGATCTGCTGCTCCGGATGCGAACCACGGTGGGCAATGTTTACAAATCTTTGGGCCCAGCATACAACCCAGACACTGTGTTATTGCTCACATGGAGGGCATAGTCACCGTTACGCCGTGCTCCCGAGACGCGGAAACGTACGTGAACGGTCAGAGAATCTATGACACCACTCTGCTTCAACACGGCGCTGTCGTCCGCTTTGGACGAGTTCACACGTTCAGATTCCTTGACCAACCAGCCTCTCGCCCTGTATCGTATGTTGAACAGTGAGTCACACATTTTTTTTCCTGTGGGTTGAATCTATTTTTCTTGCCGATATGTGAGCGATTTTAGCCTTGATGCTGTGAAATCTTTAAAATTTTGAACTGCGGCAATCTGTTTTATTGCCCCTGTCTAACGCACCCCATCCCTTCCCGGGGTTTCGCAAGTTGAAATACTGTACAGGTACCGAAAAGCAGTTCAACTTGTTTAGTTTGGCTGCGTGAGTATATAACCACTAGAAACGACTGAAGAAGACGTCGGATAGAAGAACATACTTATTTTTGCGATATTATAATAATCTGATTCCGGATTTTGTAATCGATGAAGGGCGAAAAAGGAATCCTAGAAAGAAATTGAGTATACAAATGATTGAAAATGAGAAAGGCATGTTCCAAAATTTTGTCCGATGGATTTACCATATGTATAGTGTAACGATGGCAGAGCTCTGAATTCTGGAACAGCTCCTTGGGTGTACTGTAGACTGTGTTGAGCAATTTTAGGCGACGTGGATCCGTGACTATCTTTATTTTCTCTTGTTAATCGGGTAAATCATTCACCTCCTTGTAATTGTATGCTTGTGGACGTGAGGGAGAACGGTTTAAGGTGGAAGGGACAATTTTTGACCGACAGTCCTGCATTCGTATTATTATTTTTATTTACAGGAGGGGTATTTTGGGACCAATGCCAGTGGGAACTCCGACAGATAATCTTTCAATATTGAGCAAACGAGACAGCCGGTGAGTCCTGGTTTTAAGCTTTGTGTGTTCGAGTGAAATTTCGAAATCGGAGCTGGTTTGTGACGATTTCGTTTGCCAGGAAATTGTATGCCCTTTATTCCAGTTCTAGATATGCTCTTGTTTCATTTTTGTTCCGTGTACTATGATTCATTCAAAAGTCCTCGAAGTGTAGCAGTGACTCATGTTCAGAGAAGTTTGCGCTCGTGTTTTCTATTGATCATATTACTCGAGCTTAGTTTCAAAATTTTACACTCGTTTTGCTGACGATACGAATGAGGGAACAAAATTAATCGGATGATTGTATGTCGAGTGCTTACAAAAACGAGAAGTCTCCATCGTTCTCTCACGGAAACGATTTCAGAATTAAATGAGCGAAATACTGTTGTATCGCTAAACTTCGATAATTTGAACCTCCCCTAGGTTGCATACCTACCTATGTCGAATTATTTTTTTTTTCAATACATTGAAAGCCTTCCTAACTAGAAGGCTTTTCCCGCTAAGACGTCCTCGAGTGAAATTTTCTGGTGGCCCTTTGTCTATTACTGTATTTTATTGACGCAGGAAAGAGGGAAACATAAATTTACTGTAACTTGATGTGCTTTAAAAGGAAGCGAAAGACTAATTGGGTAAATGAACCCCTGCTTTTGAGTTCAGAATCCTGTCAACTCATTTATGAAGCAATCTAAGGCCCATAATGCTGTATCACCAATCATAATTTCGTGTGATTCTTTCTTTCCCCGAGAAAAGCCTGTTTCGAAACCCCCCGGACTTGAATTTTTATCCTCGGTCCCTTGAAGTTCGAGTTGAAGAGGTTCAACTGTATATTTTTTCGAAGATCTGTTATTGATTGTGTGTGTGTGATATTTTTTGTGTTCCCCAGCGTGTTCAGGACTGAGCCGATTCTCCCCGCCAGTTTGGAAGTTGGTGAAGCCACGGAAGACGGTTTCTTCAACGCAGTCATCCGCAATTTGGATCCGAATTTGGTGCATTTCAAGCTGGCGCCTACATATGTGTTATACTTGGCTGCCCGCTACCGCGCTTCAAAGCATTTCCGTGAAGAACTCACTCCTCCGGAACGCGCCATCAAACTGACCCACACGCTGACCAAAGTGGCCCGAATGATTGAACTCACTGCGCAGTCTTCAAAAAATGATCCAGGAGCGTTGGCGTTTTGGATGGCGAATGCCTCGGAACTGTTGCATTTCCTCAAATGCGATCGTCACGTGTCTGCCTACAGCCTCGATGCGCAGGACATCTTGGCCGAGTGTGTTCAGGTCGCGTTTCGGAACCTGGTCGGTGGGCTGACGCGGGACTTGGACATGGTCATGAGTGATTTGCTGGGCGGCGCCGGAACGAGGCGGGTTGTTGAATGCTTGTCTGCTGGGATGGCGACTCTTCGTCGTTGTCGCGTGAATGCTGCGCTCACCATTCAGCTCTTCTCTCATCTCTTCCACTTTGTCAATCGGTGAGTTGGTTTCGCCTGGATTTCCATGCAAAGTCAGGGGAAGAAAAGGAAAAATCAGACAATTTATTTCATCAATTATTTATCTCGCAATTCATTGAAATGCTGTTTTGAACGTATCGGAGCCTGTTACCACTGCAGAACGTGTGGCACTTCCATAGTTTCATTAGCGTTTTATTCTGAGGAAGACTGAGGGGACATTTGTGCAGCGTTGGCGTATTGGTTGAATGTGGCTGGAAAACTGAGAAAATTATGTGGGCTCAGGTCCACAATTGATCTTGCTTCATATGAAGAATCAAGAATACATTATCCGAGTGTCTTGTTACAAATTCTATCGTGAGGAAATCAAATGAGGCCCGCAATGCTGATTTATGAAAAAAATTCCCCGTTTATGTGCTACCTAAAAGCTTCGTTGCACGTCATGCAATTTTTCTGATGTCGTTACAAGTACAGTACAGTATTGGCTTGTCGTGTACCACAGCTGTTGTATTTTTTGTGCACCTCATTATCATTCCATTTCATGTACTGAGTTGAGCACCTGATCGTAATTGTCTCGTCATGGTATTCTGTTTGATCTAACGAACGACAGTGTAGTTGATTGATGACAGCTTTCGTGGTTAAGGGTCATTTTCGTTGGATAACGGCAATGAAAGAATGTGCCGGGAGTCGTGACCCTCATTATTATATATATATAATGAGGTTCACGACTCGTTTTATATTTGGTTACAATATAATTCCTCGACATACAATATTTGCTGTTTCTATGAATGATTTCCGCGTGTTTTTTCTGGGTTCAGGCTGTTCGTCGTTTGTCAGTATTCAGTTGAAAATGTGGGAGCAATTTACCGATGGTGGCTTATACAGTACTGTACTGTGCTGTGATTATGCCGTTGCTACGCGTAGATGAAGTGCTTTTGTTCCCGCTCTTTGTGTGACCCCCAAAACATTGGTACACGAACATTAAAAAAAAATCTTTTTGTACAGCTTGACCTGCGGGGCTTCCGCTTTGAACATGATCGTTATATACAGTATATATATTATTTTATTTTTTTAAAGGTGGATATTCAACCGCATTGTTGGTGTAACAGTCTGCGAACAAGGGAATTTATGCTCGACTCAATGGGGCCAAGCTATTGCGGAGCGTCTTTCCGACTTGGAAACATGGGCCGAGAAGCAGGGACTGGATTTGGCTGCGGATTGTCATTTGGCTCGCATAACTCAGGCTGCGCATTTACTTCAAGCTCCGAAGTGGACGCCTGAAGATATTGCGATGATCTCCAGTGCCTGTTTCAAGTTGAACTCGATGCAGCTTCGAGTCCTTCTTGAAAAGTACGTCTCTTTCTTACCTCGTATTTTCGTAGGTTACCGTTGATCATTAAAATGCGTGCATTGGGAGGACTATTTAAAATTTATTTTAAATTCAGCTAATAATTATGTCATGACACGTCGAATGTGACCGGGGGACTCACGCAGTTAAATTGAAAGGAACGAGTTTTTTCGGTTTTTTAAAAAATTTTAAATGTGTTCCCGGACTCTTTCTTAAAATAAATGTTCAAGTTCCACGTTACATACGTTTTAGATCACTTCAGGTTATTGAAATGCGTACATGGGGAGAAAAATATCAAAAGGCGTTTTAATTCACCTGGTACTTATGTAGTGGCACGTGGAATAATATGGCAGGGGGTTGACGTAATAGAATCGAAACTTCAAACGAAACGAATTTGTTTCAGGTTTTCGATTTTTAATGTGTTCCCTGAATCATTCCTGAAAACCACTGTACTGTTCGTCCAAGTTTCACCTTGTATACAGTATTTTTAGATTAGTGTAGATCATTGAAATGCGTGCGTGGGGAGAAAATATCAAATTTCGTTTCAATTCAGCTGGTACGTATGTATTGCCTCGTCGAATAATGTGTCGAATTCACGCAGTAAAATTGAAAGAAAATAATTTTATTTCATGTTTTAAATTTCTAATGTGTTCTCTGAATAGTGTTAGATGTAGTGGATTCACTTCTGAACGTACCGTATGGACAGCTCCGTGAAAATTTCCGATTTGCCAACGAGATTCTGTTAGTGAAAATTCGGCTGTTCGTTTCAAAGTTGTTTCATGCTTGCCCGGAGTTTCGATGGTTCAATGTACGTATTCTCGAACTGCAGGTTCACCCCGTCGAGGAATGAGCCTGAAATCCCGAGAGAGCTGGTGGACAGCGTGGTTCGGGTCGCGGAAAACACCGCTGACGAATTGCTGAAAGCCGATGGCCGCGTTGTCCGTCTGGAAGAAGACGAAGAGCTCGGACTAGCATTCATGCTTCCTGAAGATGGATACAGCTGCGACGTGGTGCGTGGTTTCCCACAGGGGCTTTCCGAGTTCCTTGCGGGCTTGCAACGTGCTGGCTCGTGTCGGCTTGTAGCACAGCCTGCGAGTCCCGGATTATGGACCATTTACATGAACCCTCCGTCCACGACGCCGCCGGTGCAATACTCGGCTCCGAGGCCAACTTCGAGGGCGGCAAACGTTCCTCAGCAGCAGCCGCCGCCGCAACAACAACAGCAACCCCTCGTCCCGCAGCAGCAGCAGCAGCAGTCGCCTCAGCTACCAGCTGTCGTTACTATTCGGTTGCAGAAATCAAATTCTGGTATGGGACTGAGTATTGTTGCTGCGAAAGGTGTAGGGCAAGACAGGCTCGGAATTTACATCAAAAGTGTTGTGAAAGGTTGGTTGGTTTTTTAAATTCACGTTTTGCCCCAGCTTTGATTTCTTGAAGGTCATGGCTCATTAATCTGGCCGAAATTAGTCTAACCAAATATAAACGTGGTTGAACTTGGGTGTATCATAATTTAGTTCAGACGTCGCCAATTTAATGACATGATGCTCCGAACATGCAAATTTTCTTTCGACGTTCATTCTTACTAAAAGAGGTGGATAATGAAAAATTCGTATTCTTTAAGGTGGTGCTGCTGATCAAGATGGAAGGTTGCAAGCTGGCGATCAGCTTTTGCAAGTTGATGGGCATTCTCTTGTCGGGATAACGCAGGAAAAGTGAGAAATCTTTTTTCTTTTATCGATCGTATTTTTATCATTTCTTTGACTGGACGACGGAATCTCTGTTGTGTTATTGCGTCAACGTCGTGTTGTTCAAGCGGCAGAATAAAAATACTGTAGTTGCATTTTTTTTCTTGTTTCTCAGAGCTGCTGAGATCATGATGAAAACAGGAGCGACGGTCGTTTTGTCCGTAGCGAAACAAGGAGCGTTTTTTCATGGCCTAGCCACGCTGTTGTCTCAGCCGTCTCCGGCCATTACTCGAGGTATGTTATCTATCTATCTTTTATAGTTTATACGAACAGGCTGCTTAATCATTTTCCATGGAAACAAGTTTGTCGACTGTCCCACGTACTCGTATTTCGGCGTTTGTCCGTGTTGATGAATCGAAAACAATCTTTACGAGCCTCGTGACTCGTGTTGGTGTTCTTTTCGCACTGGAATTCGTTGTTGACTTGTCGCTGTGCAAGCATGGGCTTTGATGTTTCGTTTCCTTTTTAGTTCCCGTCCGCAAGTCGAGGGAAGGAAAGCGATATGATTAATGAGAAGGAGATATTCAAATTTTCAAGCGGGATGAGTAGTTATATTTTGAACTCTTCGTGACAAGATCTTTCACCTTCTGAAGAATTCTCAATGCTGTAGAATTTAGATGATCTTGCGGTCTTTATTCTGTATAAATTTCAGTCAATTCCGATATTTTCAAAGCTTATGATATGTCTTGGAGTTGCTAGTTAATAGTCCCGTATATATTCAACGTCATTTTTCTGACTGGAAGCAGGAAATTACAGTATGCTTGATAGTTCGGTGGATGTGCTGGCAGATTTCGTGGCGCCTCCTCGGTATATCGTCTGTCTCAGCGTGTAACGTGTACCTGTTACGTTTAGTATATACGAAAAATATCGAAATATCGTGCTGTCGTTCCATTAATTCTTCTTTCAAGAAATAGGTGGGCTGGTGAGGAAGTTCAGGCAAAATCTTGCTATTTTGCAGCAATTACAGGGCCTTCATGTATTATTTTCTTTCTTGTGGGCCTTTTACCTTCCTTTCATCCGCATTCTCGTATTATTGTGTAAAGGTCAAGTACAAAAATGCAGGTTGGGATATTGAAAAAGACCATGTACAGTAATGGCGAGATGAAGAAGCTAATACTTATGGCTTTATTCGCGTTCCTTCAAGTTAAATCGGTCGATATCCGATAAGAAATGTGAAATGGAAGCAATCTCCGCACGTTTTTCCCCTATTTTTGCGTGTCACATGTTCAGGAATTGCGAGAGTCGGATGCTGTGCCCAAGCGGTTTTCAATTCTTCTAATTGTTTCCTCTAAATGTCTTCTTCACTTGACGACGTTTTCGTGGAATTGAGTTTTGAGTGAGTGTGTGTGTATGGGAATGACAGGATCCATGCGTTTCCGTGCGGGCCGACCCAGGTCAGAAGGCTGGGCCAGAGAAGGCTGCGAACCGGGCCCTTCGTCGCGGATGTCGACGGCGAGCGTGAGCAACTTGCTCATGCCTGTCGCGCCGCCGCGGTCCAGCTCCACGTTCGCCATGGCTGCAATCAGCCGATTCATGTCAGGTGACAAATCCTGAAAGAGAGAAAAAAAATAAATAGAACCCCTGCACTTACCCGTAGTTGCAAAAGGGCGCGCGTTCATCTTGCAATGTCTGATCCGTCATAAAAACTGGTTCATGGTAGGAAGTAAAATACTGGACTACTTCAATGAGCATTGGCTTGTTGGTCACGTTTTATTTTTTCGACGAGCCATCTCTCTAAAACTTGATGTGAAAGAGCTGACGTGTGCTCACGAAAAATGAAAAAAATTATTCTCCCTCTTGAAATGCGAGAGAAAATTATTCACGATGGTGGTGTACGCGGATAAGTTTTCGTTTGAAAATTCAAATTCTGGATTTTACGAAAAAGAAAAGAATGTATTTTCAATTTTAATTAAGTAAAATCTTGTTACAACAAATCTCGTAGCAAGTAATTATTGCTTTCGTCTAGTTCGCTTTTTATGTCCCTGCCCAACAGAACAGCCTTTCGTTTGTATTTATTCTTGAAACACTTTTGTGTAGTGAAGCTTTTTTCTTATGTCCGTGGCTTCGTATTAACGAGATTTTCCCCCTTTTCCTGTATTATTCATTCAAAAGGCGTGCAAATGCGAACGTTATTACCGGAACTCTTGTTAATTCAACGTGTTCTTCTTCATGGAAGTCGGCTTGTGATCAGCACACAGCGCTGATCTGTGCTTGCTGCTCTGAGAGTTTTTTTTTTTTTTTTTAAATAAAATGATTTGGTGAAACACCCTAAAATGAATTTTTTCTCTTATTTGGCTCGAATCACGAATTGAATCTCTCCCACACACACCAATTGTCTTATAGAACCCGAACCATACCTAAAATAAGCTAAACTAACCGACCTGAGAACTTTTACTACATGTTATCTACGTTTTGTGTGATGAGTGAACGTTGAATCTGTGAAAGTTCGGCGTTGGAGTGAAAAGAACTGTGTTCGTAAAATGCTTGAGGATCTTTAGAACGATGATCGAACCATTCCAACCAATTATTGCATCGAGTCTTCTGGGAAAAAAGTCAGTTGCTGGACCAGTTTTTATGACCGTTTCTCTGAAGTTCAAACGCACCTCGAATGTGTTGGTGATCGGATAATGTGCAGAAAGGTGTTAGAAATCATGCCTAGCTCAGGTCGCACGGATTACTCGAGAATCACCATCGTATTGGTATTGCGAAAGGCATTTCAACAGCCCTTTCAATACCACATTTCCCCTGTTTTATTATTATTATTTTTCTGCACTATTATTGAATCTGTCCTGTTCTCCGCTCTTCTGGATTGCACCATTCACACGGCTCCCGCAGTCACGTATGATTGGAATCATGTCAAGAATCACGTACCGACTCGGTTCCCTTATTTCCGCGGAAAATTGCCTGCGTATGCTCGAGGGTGTGGCATACTATTTCGTGATTTTGAGTACAGTTCAGTACTGTACTGTGTTTACTGGAAATAATTCATTCGCAGTTCGCCGGAAAAAATGGGTTGTTTTTGTTTTATTTCCGATTTCCACAAAAATTATATTATCTTTTATTTATTTTTTATTCGGAGACAGTTCGATCAAGCTTTACGTCATGATATACACGGATTTTTATTTGATTGGACGGGGTTTAACGAGATTAAAGGGGGAGAGTTGTTGTACCGCTAGTTTAATCCTGGAATACAGTAATGAATGCGGAGGCTAATGGTATTTACTGATTTTCTCGGATTGTATTTCGATTTTTCTTGAACGGGGATTTCGGTTGCATGATGGAAAGGTGTTCTTCTCTTTCCCAAATTTTGATATTTCTCGTGATTTTATTTTTCTTTCCTCGGTGTGGGTTGAAAAGAGAGAAGGAATGATTTGAAGATGGCGTTGCTGGGCGTTCCAGTTGTGGACAAGAAACGATTGTTGGCTTGTCTGTTGGACGGAGTGGGTAAAGTTTGTTCAGGTGACGGTAATTGCTTTTTTTCGTGGTGCATCTTGGAATGATTCAGGAAAATGGCCTTTAAAAATATTTTCAATGATTATCCTAATCCCAATTTTTTACTAGCCGCCCGAAAGATTTTGGCGGAAGAAGTGCTCTTGATTGTGGTGCTCGTCGCCCAGGCTCCTGATTGCATGTGCGTAAATGGAACAATTTACGGAAATATCTTTGGTTGATGCCTTGCAGTAGAGAGAGAATCAGTGCGCTGTTCCGCATAAATTAATCAGTCCTGACTCAGGAAATAGAGAACTCTGTACATTGACTAGCTTGCCAGTTGCACATTGACGCTTAATTGGCATAAGAAGAATTACAGGAAATTATAATTGGTGATATTCTGAGCCTTAAATTGCTTCTTGAGCGAGTTGAAAGGATGCTAAACTTGGAGGCAAGGGTTCGTTTGCACAATTAATCTTTCACTTTTGTTCAAAACGCATCAAGTAACATTTGTATTGCTTTTCTCTTTCCCGTGTCAATAAAATGATAGCCAAAAGGCCTCCGGAAAATTCGAGTTACGGAGGATCGAAGGGGAAAGCCTTCGAGTTGGGGAGGTTTTTGGTACTTTGTTTCTATATGGCAATTCAGAGAGGAACTGGAAAAAAAAAATTGATGTAGGGAGATTCGAGTTATCGAGATTTGAATGTATAGTCTTCGTGCCTGGGAAAAAGAGTTGTTCTATTATTCACTGCTAGCCGATTGGTGCGCCGAAATGTCGTCGTTATCAATAATAGAGGTCGATGAACTGAGATCATTTGCCAGAGAAGTCTCTGTTGATGCATTGTGTTTTGGAGACTACGTGGAACAGTCTATTTTTGGGCGGAGGTGATGGAAATTTTCTCTGTTCGAGTTGATGGGTGTGAGTCTGTGAAGGAGTGACTCGACAAGTTCTTGCTCTTAGCTTTTTCTAAAGACGGAAGTGACGTCTTTTTTCCCCACCCATTTGAATATGAATAGTTTCCGGGGAAACCGCTGCTTTTAAAACACATCAGGGAGAGTACTATGCTCATTTGACTTTCGCCTCTCCTTCCGGAAATATTCCGATCGTGTGGTTGTGGTCACTTTTATTTTTGTTATTTTTTAGGGTTTTTCGTGGCAATTGGGTGTCTTTTTCAACTGAACGCATTTTCGGCCGTCTCTTTACTGTCTTAAATGATCCACTTTAATCGGAATCTGGATGCTCTATTTGAATAGAAAGTCGTTGATCGCAGATTATACCGCTTTTTAAATCGAGTCTTCGGCGCGATGAAGTGGAATGAACCACTAGTAATGTAGAGAATTATTTGGTTTTTGTCGTCAAACTCGTGCGTGTTAACGGTTTTTTTTATCGCGTTGTTACGAAAACTATAATTTTCCTCGGTCAAACCAGGAAAGCGTCTCGCGCTGAAAATTGAATGGTTTTCATCATGAGGAACTCCAGTTTCGGATGAAATGTAATGCGTGACGAGGCGTTCAAAAATTTTTTTGACGCAGCCTGCACAAACTTGCACATGAAACAAAAACAATGCACGCATGCGACACCGTGTGTAGAAAAAACTTCGAACCCAATTTATTGAAGTATGCCCTAAACCCGCATGTGCATCGTTTTGGTGTGTGATTTTTGTCGATGTTCGCGAACTGTTTCTTGAAAGAATGCGAACATCCGTAAGGAGGTCCAAAAACAGTACAGTAATTTAATTACGTTATACTTCAATGCAAAATTAGCAATAATTGTCTCAAAATTTTCAACGGTGCGAAATACAGTACTTCACAGTATTAAGTATTCAAGATTCGTGCTTACAGAATGCAGCCTTCTCTACTCGGCGTCTGGATTCCGTATTGTTTCGATTTTTTAAACTTTTTCGTTGATTTTTAATCTATCAATGAGAGCGTTAAGTAACAAAAATTTCACGAAGGATGCTCGAAATGGCAATAGAAAAGCTGCATTCGGTTCAATAATTCCCTGAAGATAACGGAATTTTTTCTGTGACAAACTCGGCATGTGTACGGATGGAGTCCTTGGTACCGCAAATTTGATCTGTACATTACCGTGTGATAATAGGGGCATTTTTGAAAGAAAACTCTGTAATCTCAAGCCAAAAAAATATCAGCCAGAAATGAGGAAGTGTTACCGAACCAAGTGCAAGTCATTCACAGCGACGCGTATAGAAGACAGTCACTGTTCAAAATCCATCATCTCTTATAAGTGAGCACGTGGCAACTTTCTCTTCGGGATAAATTACTTGTTTTTTTTTTGCCCGTGCCGGTGAAACCAGTTCAACTAAAACCGTTGAATCGGATATCATTAAAAGGAATGGGATTGATCTAACTTTGCCTTTTTTACTTTTTTCAATTCCAATGACTCGGAACGGCTCAGGACAAATACTGTTCACAATTTCAATGCATTGTTTATTTTATGGTTCGTTATCCTCATTTATCGAAGGTCTTTCGAGACCCATACTAAATTCTAGGGAAAACATTTACGTTGAAAATTTGCTGTCGAGAGATTCACCCGTACTGCAGTGCAGAATTTTTGAAAAGTTTTGCTCCGTGACGAGTTTCTTCAAACTTTTGGACTTTCTACGTCTAGCTTTGATCGCATTAGCATAAAGATCATTTTGTAGATCTGGGAAACAGCTTCCGTCGAACGTTACTGTATTATTATCATTTTTTGTCGAACCTGTGCTTCTCCGGATCAATTTCGTCAACTAATGACCATTGTGCTTGTCTTCTGGAAATCTCGGGATGAAATAGCTGGAGCACAAGAAACTATGCCGCGACATACGAGCGAGAGAGACATCCCGGGTAGCGTGGCGTCAACGTTGGGTCCAGGCAATGTGCCGCCTTCGCAACACGCGTACTCGCAATCGTACCTGGCAACGAGCTCAGTTCAGCAACGACGCCCAATGCCGCCACAAGCCAGCGGAATCAATCCTGGCAGCGCCGTGTACCCGGGCCAGCGACTCCCGGCGTCCAAATCCGTGCCAGCGCTGCATTGTGAGTCGGGATTTTAATCTCTGGCGAATGATTTCAATAGAATTTCGTTTCAACGAAGCGTTTGGGGTGAAAAAAGCTACAGGGAAAAACAATAGGGAAGAAGTGTCCACTACAATACGGTAAAACCCAGTTTAAAGGGGTCTTGCTAATCGTATCATTTGGGCTTTCATTTAATTTTATTGGGCTTCACAAAGCAAAAGATGAACGCTGGAACAGACGAGAGATTCCACAGAATATTCAGTAAGTCACCGCAAAAGGGGGAAAAACTGAACCAAAAATCTTGCTCCCCCCCCCCCCCCCCCTCCCTTTTTGGTTTTACTGCGGGGATTGATTTTTTTCGATTTATCATCTATTTTGGTTTTTATCTTGAAGCTGTCCGTAGCTGAAAGAAAATCGTGGGTTTACGGTATAATCGACTTTTTATTGCGGGTTTAGATGCTTTGCCACGTATATTACAGGTGGAGTCTCTCTACAGTACGACGATCGTGTCTACAATGATGCACCCAGTACAGTAAAAATCATTTTTGTTGGGTCTCATAGGGGTTTCTACCTATGTACTGGAAGTTCTCTACGACGAATTTTTTCCGGTCCCTTGAATTTAGTTGTAGAGGGAATGCGCCTGTTTTTATTTTTCCAAAAATAATTCGAGTCTTTTTTTACTTACTGTATAGCGCACGATGAGGCACCGCCGCAGCGCCAAATGGCAACAACCCCGGTGCCACCGCACCAGATGCACCATCAGCTACAACCTGGCTCTCAGCAGACGCAACAGCAACAACAACATAATCACCACCATCACCATCAGCAGCAATCATCGCAGCCTTACCCACATCAGCAGCAGCATCCGTTGCATCATCATCATCAGAAGCCGGAGATGCAGACCCATCACGGCTACCAGCATCGTTCGACTCAGAACTTGGCATCGCCTTCCGTGGCGGCCGGTGCATTTGCCACTCCTCCGGGCACGTATACGAGCACACTGCCGTCTCGCGGCCATTTGCAACAGCACTCTCGTGGCGCCAAATTTCAAGAGATGAGTGAAGAAGTGCGACGCAGAGAAGTGCGTGGAATGACCGCGGTTGGTGGTGGACGCGCGGGAGGAGGAGCGACACCGCGAACGGAGTTGCACAATGGTCAGCTGCCGACGAGTGGTGGTGGCGGCGGCGGGACGTCGTCGACGTTGAGGCATGACAGGAGCGGATCTGTGCCGATAAGCTCACAAACGCAGCTCAGTCAGCACATCAGTAAGATCGTCAGCCCGAAGAGCCCGTGGGAACGGGAAGCAGAGGAGAAGGTGAATGTGATTCTCGTTACAGAAATTACTCTGAGAGTGCATTTGAGTGTACAGTATTTGTTTAAATACATGTTTTATCCTAATGGGGATCTTCCCGAGAACGAAAGCGCGTTCTAAAATGTCAGGCCGGTGTCGCACCCAAATAACCTTACTCGAAGCTGAAGTAACTTAACGTAACTGGAAGAGAATTAGTTGAAAGTTAAATTCCTCGTACATCAAACAAGGCGTAGCATGATTCAGGCCGTATCCTTGTAATGGCGATTGAAGTATTGTTTGACAACATTTGAAACGAAGCCTGTTGATTTCAAGAAAAATGTGTATGGAATGTTTCCTTTCAATTTCATGAAAGAGAATTAGAAAAGATGACAGCTCTTAAATTGTTGTAGAAGCACTATCTGCATTCATTACCCATTTCCCGCAGAATTTCAGTCCGAAATGTGTTTAAAATCATGATTCTTGATGTAAAAAAAAGTTTCATTGTAACGATTTCTTCTTCGGTCCGTGATGGAAGTATGCTGAGAAGAGATTTGTACAGATATTGTATTTGAGAACATTCAGTATTGAATAGCCGAGGATGCATGTGATATGCGAGTATCGTCTCTTCGATACGAAATTACAATACAGTAATTAAATGGTAATTTATTTCATGCTGCCCATTGCATTGATTTTTCTTCTAAACAAACGAAAAGATGAAGGTGATCCCAGCCCATGACATCCAGGTCGTGTGGGCTGTACTGCCTGTAAGTTTTACTTCGAAATATCATTCTTGTGTTCCAGCATGGTCTGTGAGAAGAAGTGAAAAACCGCATATCTTTGTCATTGACTTCGCACATTTTCGTTCATTTGCATGCGAATTGTGAATACTTCAGATTTTTTAAGGTTCCGTAAGTTTTTTGTTGATATTTTTATTATTTTTTGAAAGAAATTATCCGTGTTGCATTGGTCTCCATCCTGGTCATGTGATCGTTGAAAACATTTTGTTTGTTCTTGTCTCGTTGCATTTTTTGTTTATTCGCGGCTTTCATGAAGATTCTTCATACCTCTCGTTATTTTTTTTATATCGTACGTGTTAGCAGGAGGCGGAAAGACGAGCAGAAGCGGCGAGGTTGTGGCGAGACGAGCAGATTGCTTTGCTCGAGTTGTTGCCGAGCTTGAATCAAAGACAAGAGGATCAACTGAAGGCGTTGCGGCTGGAACGTGAATTCCAGCGAAGAGCGGAAGAAGAATCCCGACGCCGGGCCACGATTGACGAAGACGAACACGAAGATGACGACGATGACGACGACGAAGAGCAACTCGAGGACCGCGACGCTGCCAAAGATCTGCGTGCGGAAATCTCGCGTAGCCGAGACAGATTCCTCAATGACACCGTTGGGTCGACGGCCCATGAAGAGGCCACTCGTCAAATCGCGTCGCTCTCATTCACTGAGCAAAACAATAATAATATCCTGAGGGCGTCGAATCCGAGCCTCACGTCGCTCTCGAGGCAGGAGAAGTTGGAGGAGATGCGACGAAAGGCGGCGCAGCTGGAGGCGGCTCAGCAGGTAGAGCAGAGGATTATTCGCGAGGCACAGCGGCGGCAGCAGGAGGAAGTCGTGAGTGGATCTGGTGGCAGGAGGACGCCGAGGGGCGACGTGCCGCCGCCGCTGCCGAGCTCGTCGCCACCAGCTGAACCTGGGATGCGTCGGCTGGATAATCTAATCCGTTCCAATGGCATGGAAAACGTGAGTTGATCTAGGCACTCGAATGAGGAATTTTTATTTTCAGACAGTCTGTTGATGTTTTAATCGTCTCTCGAGGAACCATTTAAAATATTTTACTATCGGACGTCGGTCGTTTCCAATGAACAGTGCGTGATCTTTTTTATTTAAAGCGTTGTAATTTTTCCTTTCACCTGAACGCTCATTTGCAAGCGAATGTAATTATTTTAAAATATTTTGCACTGTTCGCAAGTTCTATTTTTAATTCTTCTTTTTGAGAATTTGTATGTTGAACTGTTCGATAGATTTGATGAAGTTTGCGGTCGCATTTATGCATTTTCGAGTGACCTTGAAGCTGGCACTCACTTGTTCGTTGGTTATGAGTGTAGAAAATGAAATGCAAGAAAGTCGAAGTTGTATTTGAGGAAACTAGAAAGACACGTATTTAGTGTACCTCAGCCCAGAAATTTTTGCATAAAATTATGAGTGCGCGAAGATGAGCCTTCTGTTGAACTTCAGCAAGGAAACGAAGTACAATAATTGCCCCCCCCCCTCCCCCCCATTCTGCTTGTACGGGAAGAAATCCATTGAACAATGTCCGGATTTTTCCAAAGGTTGTCATGGAGACATTTGATACAGTACTGTATTCACTTATTTTTTTTTTTTTCAAGATTTTACTTTCATTGGGAGTTACAGGTGGCAAGAGTTGGGATTGAACCTCCAATATCGAAGAATCCCTTTACATTGTGATTTGGCATTTTCTAGGGACTAACGGACTCGAACGCAAACCTGAACTACACCCCGACGCACCCGGAAACGTTCTTGTCCGAGGCGACGGAACTTCTGGCGCAGACAAGCCCTTTTGACACGTCAGCGGGTGCAGGCAATACCCCTGGCGTGATCGGTGCCCAGGAGGTGTATCGCGATCCGCGCCAGCGTCGTCTCGCCGAAAAAGCGTCAGCCGACACCACGGCCGCCTTGCCGAACCCCGAAAAGCTCACCTTCCGCGAGAAGATGAAGATGTTTGCGGTGGAAGGCACCTAAGGCATCATCATATCCCGGAGGACCACTGCAAGATTTTCTAAGGTCCAGAGAGAGAGAGATATTGAAGACCAGTTTCAGTTTTTGAATTCCACTCCCGTCTAAAGAAAAACGTGTGCGTGCGTCAGTGCTTTTAGTGGACGTGTGTGACAGAGCACGGGACAGAGAGGAGAAGAAAGAGGTAGAAAAGACACTCAATTATATATTTTTTTGTATCGAGTGTTGTTACAATGGGACGATTGCGCTCGCTCCTCAGCATGTTCGGAGGAACGTCAATCAGTGCTTTTTATTGGCCTCCAGAAAGCTTCCGAAGACTCAAGGATTCCTCGTTTCTAATTGAAAAACTTAAAATAAAAAATTAATCACGTAACGCCTTCCGAAAATCTTATTCCCCTCTTTTCGATATGTCGTCTCACGTGTGATCTTGGAATTTTTCCGACTTATCGTGTCCATGTTAATTTTTTTTTAATCCTGCAATTGTAATGTTTAAAAGATCACACTATTTAATGATATGCTTTGCAAGACATCAACAGTGCAGTGAGAAATTGTCGACAGTTTTTTATTCTTCCTTCGTTGGACTTGGAAAGTTGGAATGATGACATTTTTTTAATTTTAACGATGGTTCATGAAGTTTCGGAAGTCATGATTGTAATTTATTAATTGGGACCAATATTATATTTACTAATGTACATTTTAATTTATAATTTCAAGTAATAGCATAACATTTTAATCCGGCTTGAGGCAATTATTTTCCTATTTCTCGTATGTGTTCAACAATAACTTCAATACTTCAGTGTACGTTCAAAAAAAACTTTTGAGTTTGCTGATGGAATATTCGGCTTTTCCACTGAGCACCAACTTTTCAAGTGCTTATAGTAGAAAATCATGCATTTATTTAATGCATAGAAAATACGTGCTGAAATATCAAGCAGACAACACGACAGACGTATGGCATGATTCTTTTCTCCCATTTCGAACGTGGATGTCAGTTTGAGTCTGGAATTTTGTGGATGGCCCAGGTGATACCTAATATACTAGTGAGCAATATCCAAGGAAATATTTATGTACTTATAAATATTTTTCTGCGCTCCACGCACTGTGAACTATTGACAAAAGGAACAAAACGTTGCAATTTTGTTGAACGTCCTGAAAAGGCAAAAAGCTTGCACTTCTTCTGCTTTAAAAAATATCGCAACATTGCCGTCCGTGAATGAGTCTTTGTGCTGTTTACATGGGGGTTTGGGGGATTATGGACTTCTTTACGACGTGCCTAGGATTGTGATGAGTGGAGTTTGCGAAGAGAATAGAGGCAGAAGTGGAAGCAGTGAGTACAAAAAAGGAAAAATTAAAACTTGATGGAAATCTTTCCCAGCGTCAGACAAACGTCGCCAAAAAAAAAAAGGGTTTCACTTTTTATTTCCTCTCAAATCGTTCGCCTGTTATTATAATGCTTCCTCCCAATTTGAGGACATCCACCGAATTATTTAGGTGGTGTACGGTACGGGATCTTCTATTTTATGGCGCTGATTTTGTGGAGTTTTAGTGGCTGCTCGTTGTGTGGGTTTTTTTTCGCGCACCTCGAAGTTGAACGATTTCGGGAGACTCGTTTTTGTTGTTTGTTTGTAGAATTGTGTTGGAATTATTCAATTTTCATGGAAAAGCGGCTAAATTGAGTGCGAACAAGGTCCAAGAATCCGTTTAGGGCGAACCCGTGGCATTTATATTCGGACGCGAAAGCGATGGATTTCTTGAGTGGAGAATTTTTCTTTCGTTTTGAGTCGTGACTTCTTTGTGTTGTGGAGAAAAAAAAAGAACTGGAAATGAACTTCAGTTTTATCTGCAAACTCTTAGTATTACTGATGCATAAGTATTGCCTGGAAAATGTTCTGGGTCATCAGTCATCAACCATCTTCAGCAATATGTTATATTCACGCACACGTACAATGGATCTCATTCGTTTTGTTCGTTCAAAAATTCATTTTGAATCCGTGCCTCATGCAGATTACCCTTGATATTTTGTGACAGTGAAATGAGAGTTCATTGAAGATACTTTTTTTGCAAACCCTGGTCAAGGGCATTGATGAGAATGAGAAAAACCCAAAAATTTGTGTGCTGAAAGTTGCCCAATTTTTGCCCAGAAGTGGTGTTCTGCAAGTTCCCTTCTGAATCCAGGAGTATTCATTATTCTTGATATATGAATACTTCAAACATTGTTCAGTTTGAAATTTTCCCAAATTTTTGTTTTTTTACAAAGCTATTTTGTTGTATGCTTAAATTTTGCTATATGAGTCACTTTTTTGTTTTTTGCCATTAATACCGTATTTACTCCAGTACCATGCGCACCTTTTTTCTCAAATTTCAGAAGAAAAGAGGGGTGCGCGTCATAAGCAGGTACAAATTTTTCAAGAAGTTTTAGGAAGTTATGTGAGCATTATACTCAATTATAAGGGAGAATTTGGAAAAAATGTAACAAGAAAAATTTTTTGTACTGAAAAAGTTGAAAATTGATCAGATTTTTGTTCAATTCATGTCTGAAGTCAATTTTTTGTTTTTATTTTCAAAATTTTGTGGTTTTGATTCACTAAAAATTGGGGTGTACGTCTTACTTGGGGATAAGATTTTAGCCAAATTTCCAACTGAAAAACCCCTGTGCGCACCTTACTTGAGGGTGACGTGGTACTTGAGTAAATATGGTATATTGGCAATTCAACATTTTTTTAATTGAGTCTTTTTTAATGTGGGGACCCAAGCATTGTACACTACAGTAAATGATTAGGAATATTGCAGTACTGTATCAAAATATATATATACAGTATATATACTTCTGGATACAAAAGAGGTCATTGCATTGCTGGATGTCTATATTTGGTGAGATCATCATACAACTTGTGTTGGATTCAAAATGTATATTGTTTAACTTGACACGTTTTGCCAAAAATTGGTAAACTTTGAGCAAAATTGCAAAATACTTTGACAAGTCTTGAACTTTCGGATACTTGGCAGACAAGCTCTCCAAACATGTTTCCTGCATACCGGGCGACATATTTCATGACATGTCTGGGCTATATTCGGACAGGTGAAGAGGCCAACAGGCCATATTTGTACTGTATATAATGCGGTACAGTAATTTGGACGTGTCCAGCAAACCGGATGTTCGGAGCACTGGATGGTAGGACTTCTTTAAAACGGGGTTGACTTGTCAATCACCGTATATCTAACTAGTTAATTCATCCTTATATACGTGTCAACAATTAGACAATATAAGCAATAATCCTTTGTTTTCGTCTTCTTCCCTTATTAAGTTGGAAGGTGACGGAGAAATATGTAAGAACTGTCGTGTACTGCACGAAGAAGGGACACACTCACACACAAAATACTGTAAGCGCAGCAGCGAGACTTGAAAGCCTTCAATATTCAATCCCAGAGATGACAATAAACCATCAGGATGAGGAGACAAAGATGACGGGTTTCCGCGTGTAAGGAAAATAAGATATGTCAACTGCAACCGACAGCACAGTGGCTTCATTGGACAGCCCGATAACGCGTTCGAACGGTAATGCGTTCCCATCGCTGCATATGTCTTGCTCTCTCTCTGTGGGTTAGCCATACATCCGCGGAGTCGGAATAATCTGGAACTATAGTACTGATGCTAGCAGCAAGGTCTGCTTTTATAGGACTTGGTGCTGTGTCTTTCGATCGACGAACCAGAGAACAATAAGAATAAAGAGGAAAAGGAAACAAGAATAATAGGCGTTAAAATGGAAGGAGAAACGTCAGGCCGGGTGTTATCTCTGCTGCTGCTGGGTTGTCTTTTGCTGCATGCGCATGTGCCCTTGATCGCTGAGGGTATCTTGGCCGCGATTAGGCCGGATCGGGAATTGAGGCGCTGTGTCCACTGCGGGAATAATAAGGTGCTATAACACCCATTCTGTTTTTTTTCCTTGATAATTTTAGGCACTGCATGTCTGCATCCGGTTTCATTTCCCAGAGAGCGTCTCCAGCGATCATTCGAAGCAGCAGCAGTTCTGGATACTGATGGGTCGCCGCGCCTCTGATGCTTGGTACTCTTATATTGTACTGTACTGTACATTTATGCACCAGCTCTTTTCTGATTTAGGTCATCAATCTTCAGTAATACAGTACTAATGAAGTTCATTATTTCATTATTTAAAGCTCAATTTTCCTTCAAATCACGTTTGAGTACACAATTGAATGCATCGCTTTCGGCCTTTTTGTTCACATTCTTTTCAAATTAAACTTTTTTCCGTCCAGATTTTTATATGTCATCCGGATGACATATACTGTGGCCACAGTACAATATACTGTATATGCACTGCCTCGTGCCAAATGTTGGTACCCTGCCAACCCTGCTTTCTGGAAATGGTCCGAAGCTGAGCAATCCGAAGTTTTTGCACAATGTTTTCCTCAAATTACTGTACTGTACATGATTTATTTTTCTTGCACACCTGGAAGCATAAAAGCGAACTTTAAACAATTTTGCGTAAAGAAATTTAAAGAACATAGAGTGTATGTATTGAAGAGGGACTTGAAAACTTACAAATTTCTTTTAAGCAATTATTGTTATAAGGAGATTTTTGTTGTGTACTTTCTAGTGCTGTATTTCCACGCAAATAAATGATTTATTTGTCAATAAGGGTCAGCGTTTTATTTTGTTGTGTCCACAGATGCTTATTCAGTATGCGATTTTAAGTACAGTACATATAGAAATGAATAAAAAAAAAACACTGTTCATATACTATATAGAGTACCACGGATTAAACTACGTCCCACTCTTGAAAAAATACACGCATTGAAAAAAGGCCTGATGATTATTTTGGAATTAGGACATTGTCCAACACCATTTCCTTTATACAGTAAGTATGATTGTTCAAGCAATTTTTTTAGTTATACTGATCTGAATACCACCAAGTTTGATGCACAATGATGTTAGCACCGGAATGTTTTTGTTTTACACAGTTGCTGATGCAAAATTCATAAAAAATCCTTATAGTGTGCATGTGAATTATCAAGATTTGGCTAAAACCTGAAATGCTTCAATTTTGTGAAACAAACTAAAGCACATCTACATCAGTTGCTGAGAGTAATCCTGTCTTGGCTGTCGAAGTCTGATTAGCACGGCCATAATAAGGATAAATAATTCACTGTAAGAAGTCATAAATCTGAAAAATAATGCAATGTGCAAGCTGACGCCCTGCTATTTCTCAGAAAATATATTACACACAGAATGAAGTTCCTGCTTGCCCCAAAAATGGTATGCATAGTCTGTTAAAATAATCTATCATCAACTGTGAAATTAACTTTCTGCTAATTAGAAATATATATCTATAATACATACGCCTGGCATGACGACAAGATCTTCAAACTTATGAAAATACAGTATTAATATAAACGTGTATTGGTTAACAACATTATTCCGTTCAAATAAGCAGTGTTTAATCCGCAAATGTTCTTACCAAAGAATTTCTGAAAGTATACTTTACAAAGAATGCATTTTCTTTAATTATTGATATAGTTTAGATGCAATATTGTCCTTAATCTTTGAGTGCGTGTGTATCTCATATGCATGTCATTTATTTTAAATCACTCAGTTAAGATCCCTGCTAAAATGTATTTTGCCATCATGAAATAAAGGCTTTTTGTATTAAATGTTAAAGAAACTAATTTCACTGTTAATGCTTAAAAAATTAAGGTGTTCCGCGATCAACACATACAGAATATTTCGTCGCAGCTATGTTCTGCATTCAGGGGGACCCAATATATTGATACCCGTTACTTCATTGAGGCCATTAGTGCGAGGCGCGCCTTTCCGAATGCTGTACTCTCGAAACGCGCGTGTGAGCGGGGCCTACATGGCGGGCGGGCGAGAATTCGTTCACAGGCGCGCGATTTTTTGTAGCAGTCGCCAGCAAGATCCCGCGGTTCGCGTCAGCAAAGAGGCACGTCCTTTCATTAGTTGTCTTGTCCATATTCCTGAAATTTTCCCAGTTTGTTCCCTGTCAAATCTTGGAGGTTTTTGATGGGAGAAAAATCCCGAGTGCGGACGCGTTCATTTTTTTTTCGCGAATGAGACGAGTGACGCGTTTAACTCTCGATCATGGTGGTGCGCGTCCATTTTGTGTTTGTCCAACGCCTGTCACGTTCAAATATACTGCACAGCCGCGCGATAAGGTACCTATTGCTGTGTGTGTGTCATTCTGGAATCACTGTTGCCTTCCTTAATATACAGTATTGGGTACCGTCGCGCCCGTAGGCCGCACGTTTCATCACGATAAGAAATGTCCCAAGAAAACTCCGGCGTGGCCTATATACCCGCGATGTACAGTATTCGACCATTATTATACAGGCCGCAGATGACTCGCTTGTGATAGTTGTGCGAAATATTTGTATACAATAATGCTGGCGCGCAACTTTCCACGATCAAGAAATCATTTTGCACTTTTTGGGGTTCAATAAATCATATTGGTGCCCGTGGGGGCATCTCTTATTTTTTAATCATTGTAATTTGTTTCTCAATCATGTTCAAGTTCTGACGGTGATGCGTGTGTGAAAATGTTTTAGATTCGGGGGATGTGCGGTCGATACCCCCTTCCTGGAATTTTCGTTCACGATCAGGGTGCGGCCTATGTACACAAGTACATGCGCTTAAACGCACGATATTGTTGTTTTCACTCTGAATATGGGAACAGGCCACGGGTCATCGTAACACTAACACACGATCGTATACGAGACCTCCCGTATATTGAGCTCACTGACCGATCTTCGGTGTCGTTCATTTTCCATTCTAACCAGACGAAGCAATTAAGAAGAAAAAATAAAATCATGC